GGGATTATCATAACATTGGTAATTTTAGTCTATCCCCACTGTGTCTGAATCTGCAGTACATGGTACCTTAGTACATTGTATGTACAGTATATTAATAGTCATGATTTCCTCCAAGAAATATGATTCCTGTTTTTTCAGATGTACTAACTTTTCAGTAACTTAAAAAAAAATCTAAATGGTTTCAAACAATGGCCCACAGTTATATGTGTCAGTTTTTTTGGAACACTTCCCCCTCCTTCCAAAAAAATGTAAAGGCTGCTTTTGCATAAAGTTCCCTGTCATCTGAAAGTCAGCAGACATGATCCTCATAGCAAGTGCAAGCATCACGGTAAATTTGATCAGATTCTGCCAAAAAATAAGACTTGCCTTTTACATAATACTGTAAATCAAAATTTAAATGTGCATGCTGCATTTCCAAAGAGTCCACAGAAAAAAACAATTTCCTTTAAAACTGTACTGGTAGTATTCTAACTCCAGAAGGAAAAAGAGTGTATGAAACTAACACAGTTTTAATATAATATATAAATACCATATTAAAAAAATTAAACCTATATTAAAATTAAAACTAAGGCTGCATTTCCAAAGAGTCCACAGAAAAAACAATTTCCTTTAAAATTGTACTGGTAGTATTCTAACTCCAGAAGGGAAAAGAGGATATGAAACAAACACAGTTTTAAAATAACACAGTTTTAAATACCATAGTAAAAAACAATTAAACCTATATTAAAATTAAAAACTAAAATGTTTAAAATTTTGAAACATTTAAAAATCTGTAACATAGGCTTAATTTTTAATATGATATTTATACAGTATTTTAAACACAGTATTTTAAAACTGTGTTTTATAATAACTACCTTGGGTCCCCTATGGGGAGAAAAGCAGCATAAATAAATAAAGAAAGAAACAACCCAAAATTTGGCAGAAATTTATGTTTTCTTATAACTGAAGAAAAAAGTGTAAATATGTGACTTTTTAGCACTGTTACCCTTATAAGGACTTCTGGAATAATCAAAACTTTGCAAATTTTGTGAAAGACTTGTTAATCCTGATAAAGCTATTGCCTGCCTCTAGAATTTAGGTTTAATTTTTAAAAAATAATATGAGTTCTGGACATAAATAACTTTACATTTCAGGGTGCTAATGCAGTTTTTCACAAAGGCATCATGAAACAGTTAACTGTGACTACACACAGAGAAAAAAAACTTGCTTACAGTGGCATCCTGACCATTATGCTGCGCTGGCTGATTCAGATAATCTATATACTTCTGACAGTTATGTTATTCTCTTACTTACTTGGAGGATTCCTTACTTACTCATGGACCCTCTCTTAGCAGCATTGAGCCAAATTAGTATTATTTAATTATTATTTTGCTTCTGATAAAAGGTTAAAACTGAACATTTTCTTGCTCGGTATCACCTTCCGCACAGGGCTAGGGAACCTTCATTCTACGACTGACTTATGCATCAGATTGCAACCAGTTTTATACAGAACCAAACATCAGTAGACAGATTTTAGTATCTGCACAGCTGTTTGTCTTTCTGCTACTGCCTTCATTCTACAGATGAGGCTGCAGGCTGCATGAAGTCAGGATGAATGTTGCACAAGCCTTTCAGTGTTAATCCTGCTTTTCAATACCTACCTGAAGTATAAATGGAGATCAATAGCTGCAACACAATTGGAACTGTTGGCAATCACAGCAACACTGAGATCATGTGATACATTTAATAAAGTAAGGGGAGATGGGATATCTACGTCATTTTTTTCTTGCTCCTGAGTTAGATAAAGGGATACATCAACACATGCCAAATATGCACCATCCATAGCACTGAAGAAATCTTTGGTGAAGTGTCAAAGAAAGTCACGGTCAGTTATGTAACAGGCGCACAGACTAAACAAAAACATGCTATCCTGAAAATGCAATCCTATATATGTTTACCTACAGTAGCTTTATTCTTCAGTAAATGTGCCTTGTTTGCAGCCTAGACATATTTGCTTGGAAATAATCCCAGCATTCTCGCTTTCCCCCTGGTTTTCCACACCATGAAAGCATGGATGGAAAATCTTTTACAACTAGCTTCCACATTCGTCCGAAATAAAGTTGGCTAGGAAACTTTGTCATCCCCATTCTGCTGTGAAAAGGATCACAGGCAAAAGGTAGGTATCACATCCATTTGTTCTCACCTCACACACCTCTGTGCCTGGGTTCTAGCCTGCAAGTCCTTAAACAGCTTAGTTTCAAGCTATCTCAAGGACCACAACTCCTTTTAGGAGCCTGCTTGAGTCTTAAGATCATCAGGAGAGGCTTTTCTCTCACCACTTTGGTGGGGACACGGGACAGGACCTTCTCTGTTGCTGCTCCCAACCTTTGGAGGCTACGCTGGCCCCATCTTTGCCATCCTTCCACAAGCAAGTGAAGACTTTTCTTTTCAGGCAAACTTGCCCTGAGTGACTGGCTGCCCAAGAGGGTTTTCACATAGATTGTTGTACCTTACTGCTTTGGATGTGTTTTGGTGTTGCTTATTTATTTTGTACATATCAAAGGCCTTCTCTGCATCAAGAGAAGGGAAAGGAAAAAGACAGGGAAATATCTTAAATAAGATAATAAATACAAATAAATAAATATTGCTAGTGCTCTTCAAGGACAAGACACTGATAAAGAACTGTAGCTTATCATTTGTATATCAAAGGAGCCTTCAGAGGGAACCAGTCTTAAAACCCAAGGGGAAGTTACAGCTTGATAAATCTTCAAGAGTTAGGTGAACACCACCATGAGGAGGGAAAGATTACAGCTAGCTCTTGCTCACTGTCAAAGTTCTCCTTTCTGCTTTTAACACTTATCTCTTTCCATTGTTCCTATTAGACATAAAACTGCATAACAGATTCATTAACCCTTTAAGAACACTGGAAAATACAGGCTCTTTTCTGTAAGGAGGAGGAGCAGTATTGCACAGAAATGCCTTAATAAACTGGGGATGACAGAAGAGATTAGTCAATGAGTTTTCAAGCTATCTTCTCCCCACCTGTGACTTAAAAGGATACATATCCATCCAGATTTATCTAACAAGAAGAGGACACCTCTGCAAAAGGTGGCATCTACCACTCTTTCCAAAGTTTGTTGTGAGAGATTAAGAACAAAGCAGAGCTCCAGTTTTTCTGTCTCTAGTTCTCTTCCCCCAAAAGCAAGATGTACAATAATAAAGTTGTTGAGCAACAAAAAAACTTTGCCATTTTTAAAGGACAGCACTCTCATAGAGGAGATTGAAGATAAACCTGCATAAGATGGAGAGAGAAAAAGATTCACATGGCATGTTTAAGAAAAGTTGCGTTTTGATATTTTCAGATATACAACAACAAAAACAACAGAAAACAGGAGTCCGAGCATGTCTGGGATTGCCAGGCGCGGCTCAGTTCCCAGCAGCAGCGGCGGTGGCGGGGAACCTCCAGATGCCTTCCAAGGCTTCTCTGGAAGACATCCGGAGGTTCCCCCTGTGATGAGATGGGTTTTAGAGTTAAAATCTTTTAAGGCATATGGGTTTTGTAATTAAGAAATAAGCCAGAGAGGTTCCATCTTGTTCCTTTGTATAAAGTATCTTTGCTATGCTGACAAGTGTTTTCCAGGCGAGCCGAGGGAATGTTATTCTGAAAGCCTGAGAAAGGACTCTGTGTGATTAGATAGATGGGAATTGTTGTGACTCTTTGAGAAACCACCATAACCCAAATAACATCTGGTGCGTATGAGAAACTCTAAAACCCATCTCATCACACACCCCT